TTGTAACGATAATGATATCGTTCATCTCTTTCTGTTCTTTATCCTCTCACCTCTATATCATACTATCTCCGGGTCATATCTCTCTTTCCTCTTCTCTATATAAGCGCGTGTCTTATTGTGAAAGAGGGACATTCTGGTCATGTAGAGTAGTCAATAAACATCTATACCGTGAGAAGCGGTCAGCTACTCAACCAGTTTGTCGTTACAGATATCTATATATCGGCACGGCCAAGCGTTACGGAATTGTATTTTTTTAACTTCTGAGACCCATATCTTCTGAACAGTAAGAGGAATCTTTATGAAACTTCCAGTGTATATGAAGGTCAACTAGTTCTATAAACATACAAAGTTTCATTAAGTTATCTCTAACCATAATGAAGTTATTTAAAAAACATGCTCCGTTACGGAATTTCAAAAAATGGACAAACACTTCACAGGTCACTCATTTTTCACTATTTTTCAACAAAACTAAGCTAGCTACAAATAGACGCTTTATATAAAATTTGTTCAGTTTTTCGCCAGCTATCAGAATATTAGGTCGTTTTCGCGGTATAAGTTAGCCTTTGAACAGGGCAACTTAAAAGATTGACCGTTACGGAATTTCAGTCGTTACGGAATTTCATCTTTTTTTACGATTTCAATTCAGAAGGTTTGATCAACTGAATTTTTAATTAATTTTTCACAAAAATGATAGTTTTTATTGAAAAAGAGAGTTTTAAAGCCTTTGTCCTTCGACTGAAAGGAGATTTGTACGAAAAAAATAGGTTACATGTTTGTGTTTCTCAGGGTCAAAGGTCAAAGGTCAAGACTTTAAAAAAATTTTTAAACTTCACAAAATATCGTTTGAGAAGGGTTTTGCGGCATCTTGAGGGCGAGGGCGATAGTATAAAGCTTAGAGAAGTTGCAGAAATCCAGAATATATGGATAGGTAGCATTTCTTTAGTTTCAGTCCCGTTCGCATGATTATTCTAGAGGACCAAATATTAAAGAACATTTTTTGTGAGACTCAAAATCTGAGGACATTCCGTCAAGGGCATTTTCCACAGAACATTCTTGTCATGATTCGAGAACACTGTAGTGAGATACTACGGGGAAAACCTTGAAATCCGCTGTAAATTCTGCAATTTTTTCAAAATCTGAAATATTATATGAGTGCCACGACGGCGGCAGCTATGTTTTTCCCTAAAAATTATCCTCAGCATCAACTCGAATAAACAGCTTGCATCTCTAATTATGTATAGAATACACATATCAGAATAATATCAATATAGATTTCTTTCTAGAACAAAACTTCTGTCTTTATTTCAAAGCACACTCATTATTCTACACTATTAAATGAAATTCCGTAACGGAGTATTTTGAGTCTAGATAGACAACAATAGCACTGATAATTAATAAAAACTAGTCAAATGGATAGCTCTCGAAAAGATCTATCAGCTGATGTAATTTTCAAAACTTGAACTCGCAACGGTACAAAATGAAACATACTTTGATCTATTTTCGTTACGGAATTTCATGAAAAATTCAGTAGTTTTCTGAAGAAATGACAAATCCATGCGACTAGTAGAGTATTATTGAAATCTCTCATTCTGAAAGAGCACATCTTGTTTTATCTAATTATGTAAAATTCGGTTCAATTCAACTTGAACAATAACACTTTTTAACCGTTAGTGGATATTGACCTATAGGTGTCGCTTCATAACAAGTTTATTGAAGAGAAGAACAGCGCTGGTGTCAATTCATGTTCATATATTGATGGAGCTAGTATTACCTTTTCTTTACACTATTACATGTACTCTATCCAACAACATACTCATTTTCCTTCTATCTTGAATTCGAACCCCTCGCATACATGGTTGACCGATGGCTGGCCGTGCTCATATGTTCGTATCTAATTAATAGAGGAAGTGATAGGATTACTTTTTAAGACGTCATGCACTTTTTTTTCAAACACAGCTCATAAATTGTTCTTTGATCTTATAATTTCTCATTTCCGATTATTAGTAATATCTATATATTAGAATGGGTTCGTCGATGTTGTCCTGTTTGTTTATTTCTAACTATATCTTCAAACGTATATATGTGCATATAAACATCAGAGACAGAAAAGATGAGAAAGAAATGATGTTAGGGCTAATGTCACTATTCAGCGACATTAACTAACATCAACTCATAAACTATATATTCAGTATTTCCACGTGTCTATAATGGTTGCTTTATTTGCCCTCTGATAACAATGGCCAATTCACCTTTATCATTCTGTACATTTCCTTGTCACTTTTCAATAAACAACAGTATTAATTGCACTGAAAAAAAAGATGTTTTACCAAACCAAAAAAGCAATCGGTCGGTGGGCACAATCGCTAAACCTCACATGGTTTGGTCGCAAAAAGGTTTCGCACATCAGGTTTCGTACGAAACCATTCCCAAAAATATTTTCAAAAGGTCTTTCTGAGGGTTTCCATCTGCAATACCTCTGGAGAATTTGCCACCACTGATGCCCTTGGTCAGTGCGTAATTCTTTTCCATGAGAATCTTCATCTGCCTGATACTGCCCAGTACGATAAGACGCCAGCACAGTAGAGTATTTCACCAGTTCTTCCTGTGAAAGTCATATTTACACCATCAGACATCTGATCCTCGACGAGCTAGGAGGTTTATACATAGACGGGGTTGTTTTGAGTTGCATTCATGCATGTCATATATGATATACACAAGAAACTGGAAAGTTACAAATGTTTCGAACTGCTTCAATCCAGTTCTCACGCTTACTTCTACTCAAGTAGCGCCTAGA